ACTGAGCACAAGCCATTTATTTGAATAGGGCTCCATCTTGGATCACCGGGGCTTGTGATTAGTCCTATTAAACCTTCTATAGTTACAGTGCAAGTAAATGTAAAGGCAATAAATATTGAGCCCCAAAATATATTGTTTTATCTGATGGTTTTTGAATGATAAATCAATATAGTAATTACAGTGACTGAATATGTTCCTATCATGGGCTTCATAGAGCTGGCACGTTGGCTCTAGGGTTAGACTTTGCAACATGGGTTTTCCAGTCGTTCAGAACTTTTTTTCTTTGAATCTTTTAACAATGAAAAGCAAAAACCGTTGTGGCCGTGGGATTGTCAGTATCTGATGCTGATGCTGCTATTGCTCATGCAAGATAACATCCAGTGTCAAGTGAGAATATTGATAGATTTTGTGCTGAAAACCGTACATGATATTAAAAGTCTGTCACGAATGAATAAACTTGATGAGACAGGATAAAATTCACCACATCATCTTTGGTGCCAGTTTTCTCTTTGATCAATCAATGTAACTGCTCTGCTCTCCTCGCAGACTTACTCAAAACTCGATTACAGCCACTTCAAAGGCGACCTCTCTCTCCGCTTTCCCCGGCTCTCATCCAAAAGCAAATGAATGACGGGACCATTCAGATTCAGTCAAATGGCTTCGGGATTCTAAAGGTGTTGTGAGCCTGCATATGGCGGCAACAGTGAAATTGACACAGGACCAAAACATGTTCTGTATATCTCTCCATCAGTTTGTTAATTACTTTATAGCCCGCAAAGCTTTCCCTGAATCTGTATAATTTAGATTAACTAGCTCCGGCTCGGATTTAATCAAACAACAGACGATCCCCTCTGTAGGGATTCATTGTAGTAACCAATATCTTTCTGTGTGCAGGTTTTAGACATGAACAAACCAAGTATAATGAAGACATTTATAATATTTCATAGTTGTGTGCTCTGTTTCCTTATTATTCAAGAACTCTTTTTTTTTTTTTTTTTTTTTTTTTTTTTAAATGTGGGGTCGCTGCTCATTTTTTCCAATTTTATTCCATTGAATCTTTTTTCTTCACAAAATTAGATTCAGATAATAAGACTCCCATTGACATCTGGTGCACGGGTGTGTGTGTGTGTGTGTGTGTATGAATATTTAAATGTTTAAAAGTGGGCTGAGCTTAAGGTTTCAGAAAGTTAAATTGCCTTTGTAAATATAAATATAATGAAAAAATATTCTTTATAAAAGATTTCAAACTTGTTTGGGGCGTATTGGCTATCTGGTGAGAAATGACCAAGACCTAAATTTATATAAGGTATACTTCTTAATCGTTAGCAACCCCAGCACTGTGGCTAACCATAAATAAGCTAACTGGTTAGCGAACCTTTTAGCTTGTTTCAATAGCTAACCTTTTGATATTTTACATTTTTGAAATTTTCACTGGAAAAGACTTCACTTCTCCAGTGAAGTCTGCGTACCTCTCAACTAGTACCTACCAGCGTGCCTACGTGCCTGCCTACGTGCCTGCCTACGTTTGTGCGTGCATGCTCTAAAACCTTGTTATTGTTATTGCATTGTGGTCCAACGAACAAGAAAAGAATGATCTGATAAGGGCTATAATAGCATCCAGGTGAAATGGACAACACAAGTACAACTCAACGTACAATGTGAAACTAATATAGCACAGACTCATCTCACGCAAAGTGATTATCAATTCACTTGTTATGATATTGATCATTGTGGTTCGCAGCTTGTAAAAAACTCAAAACATTTTACAACATTTGAATATTTTGAAAATAGACAAAATCATAACAACCAAAGACTATAGACTTACGTCACTTTCCACGGAATGAGTCCAAATTAAAAATGAATTGTGCATTTTACTTAACTTACAGAACTGAGCGAACCTTTGGAACAATATTCGTTCTATTTGCCAAAATGGTGCAGCCCTTGTGTGGGGTGTTGTGGCGTGTGTCGGGCTGTGCTCAGATATTGATCTGAAAACAGAGCTGGTTTTTCCCTTCAGCAGCTACAGGAGTGGCTTTGTCATTAGTTACTCTTTCATCCCCCATTTTTGCATTTCCTCTCGAGCCAGAGATGAAATGTGAAGCTCTTTGTTGTGTTGTGTCTTCAGTTCCTTTAAAAGAAAGTGTTGATTGAAAAGTTTATAATAAGAAGTCTGGTTTGGACAGTTGTTTTTGGAATGACTTATTTTTAGTCATTCAGGCATCTCCATGTTAGGGACATGCACTTTTTTCCAATTATTAAATGTTTGCCATGATTCGTTTGCTGATAGAAATATGAAAATACAAATCATAAATCATGATAAATTATTAGTCCTTCCTCAATTCAATTGATTTATGTTATTGGCTGATATAATGTTCATGAATATAATAATAATACATCTTTATTTGTAGATCACTTTTAAAAAACTGTTTACAAATGGCTGCACAGTCAGCATAAGCAATAAAAATAGGGAGCTTGTAGGTGGTTAAAAGTTCAGTGACGTAGCTTGGACCTAAACAAGCTTCAAAAATAATCAGTGAAATCTTTAAATCAATTCTAAAAATCACAAGGAGCCAGTGGGGGGAAGCTAAAACAGGGGTAATGTGCTCCCTTCTGTTACAACCAGTGAGAAATGTAGTATATAGTAATAGTATGTATTATATCGATACATATCACCTATTCCTACTCTATATTAAATCCAATGACACGATAAAGGTGGTAGTTAATTAATGTAGTTAATTTTAATTTATTTTTATTAATTGATCAGTTTAAATCTATCAAATAAGGGATTTTTCTTAATACTTTTGACCAATACAAAGCCAAATCGATGCCACCCGAGAGATGAACAACACCACAACAGTTGGACTAGAATTACTTTTTGGCATGATTTGGTCATGGTTTGTTTGTAAAATAATCATATTATTGCTAAATGAGTTGACAGCTATTAATTGATTAACATTTTCCTGCCATAGTCAAAATACAGTATAATATTTTTGTGAATATTCAAAGTTAAAAGAGTTCTCAAAGTCTGAATCCTCCTAACCAATCGAAACATCTCTCTATGCCCCTCACAAACAAATGATTATTTTATATTGTTATAATATATTGTTTTACCTTTTGAATTCTACGTTTTGCAGTTCATTGTTGCACCTGCAGTAAAACGATACTGATTAGCTGTGGTTTGTGAGTAATGCCTGTGTGTGTGTGTGTGTGTGTGTGTGTGTGTGTGTGTGTGTGTGTGTGTGTGTGTGTGTGTGTGGTTTAATCTGGATTTTCACCAGTTTACCACCCACAGTGTCTGCTCCAAGACGGAGTAAAACTAACTGTGTGTAACTGCTCATCAAATCACTTTTTTTCTCTGACAAACATGTGTGTGTGTGTGTGTATTTGTGTAAAGGTGCTATTCTCACAACGCATCATGTGTGACAGTATTTCTAATGCGGTGACGGCTACGAGATGTGCTTTGAAGATGCTCCAAAAAGAAGCCTCAAAATCAGCACAAGACTCGTAAAACACGACAAACACTTTTCTCCTTGATTACAGAAAGAAATTATACATTTTAGAAGAACCCGAACTAGGGTTAGTACACAATAAAAGGGAAAGAAATTAAATGAGTTTGTTTTTTGCCCAAAATCACAACAGCAGTGGCATCAAAGGACAATTACAGTCGATTTACCAACAGCAAAATCAAATAACTAGGAACTTCATGGATAAAACACATAAGACTTATTGGTACATAGCGCAGCAAGTTAAATTAATGTCTATAAATGTTCGTTAATGTCCATGAACGTCCCGGATCATCATCTAAAATGGAAACATGGTTCATATAATGTCGATGTTGGCGGTTAATACCTCTATTCTCTCTACGCTTCAGCTCTGAATAATTCAGCAAAGCGGGATGTGGACACAGGGAGATGTGTGCTGGAGATGATTGCGAGAGGAAATTACCTTTTGATGTTTAGAGTAGGACTGATTTGATTAATCGTGTATATAAATGGTGATACAAGTACTAAATCTTCTTCATATGAGAACGAACCTAGGGAACTACAAACTAAATATGCCACACATTATGGACCAGCTCAATATTTAAAGAATAAATATCACCCATTATTCTTTTCTATTGAAAGCTATGATATTAATTACTTTTTAATGTCTTTATTTACGCACTATTGTAATGTCGAATAGTCTTGTCATTCGAAAATATGGTGATGTAACGAGTATGGAATGTAAAAATGACAATCAGCCTGCCCTATCACGATGCTACCAACAGAGGGAGCTGTAGAATTTGTTTTGTTTAAAATTTGTAAATTACCATCTACAAACGCTGACATTATTTACTTGCAACATGGGATTGAGGAATTGACCAGATACAGTAATTCATTGGCAATACTTTTGTTCTTAAAGACAGAAAATTGCTCTGAGGATTTAGTCAGAAAATCTAAAACCAACCTCTGTTTGTTGAGAGAGCAGTGTTGTACCATTGTTAAAAGCTCACAAAAGTAGATTGATCATATTTTAGTCTCCTTTAAGTATTGTGAATTTGTGTCAGTTGTACCTTCACCGTCATGTTGCGTTAGTATTACCAATAAGTTGTATTCTGTCCCATTTTGAATTCTGTATTATGTTGAATTACTGTTACTCTCCCACAGTTCATTCATAAATCCTTAGCAGTGCACATTCTATGAACCATATAATAGCTGCACTATTCTTTCTACTGAGCCGTGCTTGTCGGCCGCACAGCAGGCCGTGACATTTGGGTCCGTTTGATGGAGCGGCTTTGCTGTGGTTTGATCCAGGTGTTTTCAACGCTTGAATATTTCAGTGGTCACACAGACTTATGAGTACAGGTGGGAGAGAAGGTCAGGCGTGACACAGTCTGACAGCTTTGCACTGAAGTGGTTTTATTATTTGATATTCTAGAGAGAAAATGGTTCTTCCATCTGGGCTCCTGTAGAAATATTTATTTAATGTACTTAAATATTAAATTCTGTCCCTGTTTTTAGGTGTCCCTGGCTGACCAAGGTAATCTCTCCTGCAGTGCCTCTCTACAATGGCCTGGTCTTCCTCTTCGTTCTGGCCAATTTCAGTATGGCAACCTTCATGGACCCTGGCGTCTACCCCAGAGGTACAAATCTTTTCAAAGTTATCTTCAAATGTCACCTTCTTTCAGCTTCCCTCTAGAATCATGTATTTCTAGTGCCAGCTATCTGACCACTTACTTTGTTAAAAGGAGATTGAAATGTTTCTGTTGCTTGATTGAAGTTTGCATTTTGTTCTTGAGGAGATGTCACTAGTGCAGGGACCAACTGGTTATTTTATTATCAGGTTGGTCTGTGTTATTACACTAGAAATTGTGCAAAAAACATATGTTATTGAATATTTTCAGCTAGTCATTTAATTTTGCAATCATGCTGCTTACTTTTTGGGTAGCTGAATCAATTATCAAATAAAAAGCATACCTATAACAAAATTAAAAAAGAATTTTGCCTGAAAGGGAGTGGGAAGAAGAGAACTTATTTATTCCCACCCCATTATCCATTTACACATTTTCTTCTCTGCTACTGCAAACTTAAAATGAAAAGAAGAAGACCCAGAGAACAAGAATTTAAACACACAAGAAAACTAAGGAAAAGCATGGCGTGTTACCGTAGACAACAGATAGACAGACAGATATATTTTACTTCTAGTTATCAATTACCAATAGTAAATGAAAGTGAATCATTGTAAAATGCACTGTAGTTGTATAGAATTACAAGACATAGGTCATACACCATCTAACCCAACTAAACTATCAAGCAAGTATTGCAATAAATAAAAAAATTTGCATGACATGTTAGCTCTGGTGTAATACTGTCTAGTGAGCTGGAGTGTCATCATTTGGCACAATAAAAACAGTCTTTTTTAGACAATACTATATATATATTTCAAGGTTATATAACAGCCCCTGGTCTGTAGATGAAGCCAGTATAGTGAATGCGGTTACAGATCCTGACTTCAATGTCCCGTAACGAGGACGGTCATTTCTATGAACCTTTTAGTTTGAGTAAACGTGTTATTTCAGGTCAAGTGTTCCCATTATCTGTTGATGATCTGTGCCGGTCGGCTGAACACACAGATGTGACACCTCAGTGAACCAGCCTCTGTTTAAGACCTCATAACCTCCATATCACAGTCCGCTGGAGGTGGCACCCATAAAGTTTTGCACTAGTTCGTGGTGGGATGCTGCGTTTTGACTACAGCCTCATCTTCATTAAGCAGTGACTTTCCCTCAGGAGAATCATCTGATACATCTAATTTCCTATTAATATGCTTTCATTATTAGCCGGTCCAGCGCACAGGTTGTAATCTGCTTTAGCTGAAATGACTCCGTGGCTCAGCCTTGGTTTCTTTATTCTTTGGCATAGATCTACTTGGCTATAGTTGCACCAATACGACACGATTCATTTCTATTTTACTAACTCTCCCTGGCCACACATTCTTTCATAATACTGATCATTTTGAACACAGATTTTTGTGACCAATTATTTTTTTTAAGAAAAATGGCAACGATGAGCTGTATTGCAATTAGGGTTGTCAAACTATTATCAAAATGTGATGCTAATTTTTGCAAACAACTCAAAATAATAGAATTTAATATTTCATAAAGAGATTTTTTTTTTTATACATTTGAAATTATATCATAAGAACTTGAAAACCTTATGGACCAATAAGAAGTAATATGTGGCACCACCTGTTCGAAAAAGCCATATCCCGTCAGAACTCTTTAGCCAAGCAGGGCAGGGCCTGGTAAGTACTGTGATGGGAGACCTCTGTGAACACCAGGTGCCACTAGAATGATGGTGTTTGTGTGAATGGTTGGTGGTGGTGGTCAGAGAGACCGATGGCACATACTGGTTGTCTTGCTTTTGCCAGTGTGCCCCAGGGCAGCTGTGGCTACAGAAGTAGCTTATCACCTCTGTGTATGGAGTGAATGAATGATTTGTGAAGTGTCTTTGAGTGTCCAAAAAAGGTTCTATATAGACAAATATATTATAATTTGAGGTAAAAAATACAGTTTAGTGTCAAAATACAGAGTTTAAGATAAGATAAGATTTGCTTTATTTATCTCACATAGGAGAAATTTACAATTTTAGTTTATAATGAATTACTGAGGAATTGAAAGTAATGATGTTTTGATAGAACAAAGAATTTTTTGTATTGTTGTGTATAAACATGTTGTACACGCTAGAGCTGCACAATATTGGAAATTAGAGCAATATTTGTTATGAGTGTTTAGTATTGCTTTTGTCTTTCACCTAAATTTGCAATTTGCATTGAAGCACAAGAGACAAATAACACAAAATAAGCTCAACATTAATGACATTCATACAGTATATTTATTATATATGTTTTTGTTTGTTTGTTCTTGTTGAATGTGGATGTGTGTGTCTGTGTTGTTGTCTTTAATAAACAAAACAGAAAAATATATACATTTTTTTTTTAAAGAAATTGCACATCTTTTCGATATGGATATTGCACGCACCAATATCGCGGTAACGATCATTTTTCGATATATCTATATCCTAGTTCACGCCTACTCGTGGATAATATACTTTTTGACTTGAGGCCATTAAACTTCTAAAGTGTCAATGTTATGTATGCATTAATGTTAGTGTTGTCATTCCACTGATCACTGTTATTATGATATTTTCACTGTGGTTTCACACACTTTTGTCCTCAGGTAACTTTTGTGGAGAAAGAAGAAAGTTGTGCTCACTGTTGAAAATAGGCCATCGCTAAACTTACTTACTTCAAAGTTAACAAAGCTGTCAAAATGCCCACACAAAACAGCTGCTGTGTGTACCGCCATTTATTTTTACAATCCATTTGAAAGTCCTTCAGCAGTTTCAGCTCAAAGCAGTGTTTCTTTCCTGTTTTCCCTGAGTGTCTGTCTTCTGGCTCTTTTCACAGTTGTTGTTATCTTTGTGTGAAATTATTTTCTCAGGTTGTGTGCATTGTTTGAGTCGGGCCTTTGATCAGAGGCAATGTTTTGGTCCTGTATCTCCAAAGACGCAATACAAAAATCCGGTCTGTTATCTGATTACAAGAACATACATTACAACACCAGCCAGTCTCTGTATCCTCTCTGACACAGTAATGCCAGGCTCATGCAAATCAAGTAGAATCAGGGAATGTGAACAAGTGCCTCGATAAGGAAACTTGCTGCATTCAAACAAGTCTAGTGCTATTATCTGTAGTCTCCCTCCATCATGGTTAGGACTGGGTGACTTTCAGAGCCTGCCGACCCTATCTAGACACAGCGGACTTTCATACAATATATTTCTAAACAATTTGATGTGGTTCAGTGAAAGAGGCTTTTTGACGCCTCGTTAGCCTGGTCGTACCACACCATAGTACAAATAACATTTCGTACTAAGGTCTGGAGGTGCTCCATTGAGCTCCGTGAACAGGTGGGAAGGGTTACCTCCTTTTGTAGATTGAAACGATTGGATCTGAGTTTACCGTGACGTATGCAATGCGCCCGAGTGAGTTGTTAGCATCAGCATTTAGCCTAGCCATCTCCTTTGCCGCTAACGGACCCCGTGGGGAGGAGCGCCACAATTTTTCCAGCGATTACATTTGCTAAACATTCCTATTGCTCCGGCTTCAATTTCTTGATAGAACCAGACTGGATTACTTTACTCTCGCATTTTTCGCCATTGCCAAACTACGACCTTCCCGTTCGATGCAAACTCTTGACATCACCCACAACTAAATACAACACTCTCCTCCCGCGCTCTCTGATTGGTCGGTCGAAATTCAAGCGATTGTAATCGCTAACACAGGGACCAGACCCAGACGTTACATGCAGTGAAATGATGATTGGGCGGAGTGTATGGATGGCTAAGGCCAGGCTAACGCCTCGTCCAATCAGAACAAAAATACAACACTTTTGGTGCATTTGTATTTACATACTAATTGTTAAACAAAAATATAAAAATAAGAAATAGCAATGAAACAATGTATATTTTAAAAGATGGAGGGGAATGTACATTTTAAAAATTGGCAGTACTAAATAAACAATTGATATTATTGCTATTATTAATATTGCATCTATGAATCTAAAATGTTCTTATTCTTGTTTTTCTATTAAAATTACAAACATTAAGACTGTTTAGCCCTTTTCCTCTTCTATTAAGATAAGATCACAAGAACTTTATCAATCTCACAATAGATAAATGTTTTTTTTTTTTTAAGCAGTTCAAACGCAACATACTTTATTTGCTTGGACAACTTCCTTATAGTTCTGTTCCTCAAAACCAGAAGCCCTGGACCACTCTTTGGAAACCACTGTCGAATCGTGGGCGGCCCACCCAGACAGTGAATCTTCCTGCTGTGAAGCAAATGTTGCCACTTCTGCTGTTTGTGAATGAGTCTGTAAACATTTAATTAGTTTGTTCTGTGTCTGACGGTGAACCACACGTCTTTAGAATCACCACAAACCACATCCATCAACTCCTCCTTTTAGTCCTTTCTTGTTAGAAGATGCCAATGCCTGTCTGTACATTCACATTACTCTAACATCAATCAACACTAGGACCCTGACGATTCTGAAACTACTAGAACTAAAGGAAGGCTTTTTTTTGTACATTGTTCCAATTTTGGGGTCTGAACGTTTTGGTTTTTTTTGGAATGTTTATATATGAAAATAATGCATATATTATATACATAGTATTTACCAGAGTATCATCTACTGTATATTATTATTCATCTAAATATATTGTTTTCATAATGTGGTTATTCTTTCTCCTTGGGCGGCTTGGTGGCTGAGTGGTTAGCACTTGCGCTTCTCAGCAAGAAAGTCGTGGGTTTTTATCCCAGTCGGTTCAGGGCCATTCTGAGTGGAGTTTGCATGTTCTCCCTGTGTAGGTTTCCTCTGGGTGCTCTGGTTTCCCCTAACACTAAAAACATGCACAATAGATGGCTCAAATCCAGAGGAATAAGTTCCCTACATGGATAAATAAAATGCACATTTACATTTACATTTCTCACACCTATGTTTTTTTGGAATCATTTAATATTTAGATTTTTTCCCCATTTAAAAAAAACAAAAATACCATTGGCGCCACAATACTTTGCTCACCTCTTCTTAGCCTGCTCTTATGCCTGCCACACATTCACACATCTAATTATACTTTTGTGTTTGTTTTCTCTCGTTTCGACAGCGGACGAGGATGAAGACAAAGACGATGACTTCCGAGCTCCTCTCTACAAGAACGTGGAGATCAAGGGCATCCAAGTGCGGATGAAGTGGTGCGCCACCTGTCACTTCTACCGGCCGCCGCGCTGCTCCCACTGCAGCGTGTGCGACAACTGCGTGGAGGTGCGGCCTCTTGTGTTATTCGCAGCAACACAATATGGAATATGTCAGCGCTTTATGATTCATCGCGGATAGTATGCAAAATTTACTTTTTTGAGCTTTCAAATCAACCATGTTACACCATTGTTCCGTTGTCAAAAACAGAAGCTACTTCCTTCAACGCTAATATCAGGAACTTCTGGTATTATAATGTAACTCCTCCCCTTCAGTCTAAAAAGCTCCAGTCTCAGTCCTGTTTTAGTTTGGTGTGGACAGCTATGATATTGGACTGCTTTGACATCACACTTCTGCCTTTTTAAAACAAAAGTTTTTGCAGACAAAAAATACAATAAAAATATGACTTGATTTTAAGAAAATGTTTCTTGGTTTTCGATTTGTCAGTGGAACATGTGACTTTCGTCCTGTTATTGTGCGGAACCATTATTTTCCCATTCTAAATACATCAAATCTTATCATCAAACAAATGTGTTGCACAACTCAGATCTGACTATAAGAATGTTGTGAGAAAAGACACTCTGCGGCTCATTAAACCCCGCAAGTTTAGATTCTTTCAACTTTTGGCACAGCCTTATTTGTAATGTTGCATCTCCGTAGACATTCAGACATTTTAGTACTTAAAGAAGACGTCTGCTTAGCTACTTAAGTTGTATTTTTGATATAGTTTTTGATGTATGTCTCTGTAGTATCAAAACAAATGTTCATAATAAATATATTTAAAACAGTGGAATAAGCCTTTACCAGTAGATTTACTGGAGGAGAATGAGTAGACCGATGGTGAGGGGCCTCAGCTGTCTATCAAAGATTAGAATGAACTGTGTCCAATCAGAAAGTCTTAACTGGCGCTTGTGTTAGAAAAACATCTCTCCAGCTTCACAATTTAAATGTAATTGACCTCCACTTTAAGCCTGTAGCAAAAGTGAATGTTTTTCTTTCTGCTAAATGTGATTTTTGTTTTGTTTCTTTGTAGGACTTTGACCACCACTGCCCCTGGGTGAACAACTGCATTGGGCGGAGGAACTATCGGTACTTCTTCCTCTTCCTGCTGTCGCTGAGCGTTCACATGTTGAACGTGTTTTCCTTCGGCCTGATCTTCGTGCTGCACCATCGAGAGCGGCTCAGCGCACTGCACACCACCGTCACGTATCCTCCACCCAAGACTTCAGTCATGTCACATCACCATAACGACGATATCATCTTCAATTGAAGGGAAACTTTATTCGTCCCACAGTGGGGAAATTTCAGTGTTGCATCACCGGTTACAGAACAGTGGGAATGAGGAGCACACAACACAAGAGGAATGAACAATAACTCTATACTTACATAGAATAAAATCTGACTTTAGCATATAAAGAAGCAAGTATTGAATCTCTAGCTTCAGCGTAATAAAGAAACTAGTATAAAATGTCTAGTTTTAGCATAATGAAGAGCAAGAATTAGGTATAAAATCTCTGACTTTAGCTTAATAAAGAATAAAATGCTGTATATTCTAGTATAATATATAGTACTTAAAATATATAGTTGTATGTATACATCTTACATCATATAGTAATGTATCAGGGGCGATAGTAGCTCAGTTGGTAGAGCGTTACCCTTTGGGCCTGAAGGTCGTGGGTTCGAGCCCACCATGAGAACTTCTTCAAGACTCCCACTGATGACTGCTGTCGTTGTGTCCTTGAGCACTTAACCCCACTCTGCCTGAAACATCAAGGTTCCTGTGGACTCACCACCTGCAGGAGGATCAGTGAGGGGCTGGTGCTCTGTGAACTGGGTGCAGCTCCAACTGCCATCGACTCAGAAATGGATTAAGGGGAAGAAAATGAATGGATGGATGTATACAATGAATGGATGGATGTATACAACATATGTGGTTCTATACACATACATGTGGTTCTATATTTCACATTCAGACATAACATTATTCAAGTAATTTTTTCACAGATTAGTAAAGTAAAGTTACTTTGGACACGTGTGGTTTCATATTGCACATTCAGACATTATTTAGAATTATTGCACAGATGCATGACATGTGAGATCAGGTCGGCCGTGTTCGTTAGTCCTCATTGTTCGTTGTACAGTCTGTGTTTGCGTTGGGGGCAAGAGCATTATGTGGAATCTGATCATTTAACATCAGAAGTTTCTCACATTTCAATGCAAAGGCACAAACCTCACGAAAAGGCAATAGATCTTGTTTTCCAATGCAGCGGTGTAGTCCTTGACCTTTTCTCCCAGTCTGGTGGTGATGTGCATCGCAGGACTCTTCTTCATTCCAGTCATGGGCCTCACAGGATTTCACATGGTGCTAGTGGCTCGGGGTCGAACAACAAACGAACAGGTATAAAAAATAGATTATTAATGAATACATTAATCTTAATTTTCCCTCGAAGCGTTCCTCTTCAGCACAACAAATAGTATGTATTTAATAGTTTATAACATGGACGGGTCAGATAAAGTCTTTGAAGATTTTTAAATCTGTTTTTATTTATTTTTTGTAGATTTTTTTGAACAAAACTAGTTCAGTTGCTGTATTTTTGGACTGAACCAAAAGTTAAAATCCTGCTAGTTGCATCCATGGCAATTATGACGAACAGTGCGTGTGATGTTGTATTTTTTTATATTGCAACGAATGAAAATGTTTTAATGCCAGCTCCCAGTGCTTCAGTGTCATGTCCTTGTGGATGCTTCATGAATGTGGCGTGTTTTCTCGCTCAGGTGACGGGCAAGTTTCGTGGAGGAGTAAATCCCTTCACCAAGGGTTGCTGTGGCAACGTGGAGTATGTCTTATGCAGTCCTTTGGCACCGAGGTAAGACAGTGCACCTCTCTGTGAATATGAATGTTTCCTCTGTCATGTTTGTTAATGTCAACTGCTGGCTTTTATTTCTTTGAAACACAGAGGCGTTGGATCATGGACTAATGACAACAATACCATTAGAGAACTCCATCATTATCATATTTGAGCCACATTCTATGGCTAAAAGCTGATCCAAGCTCACTCTTGTATTACCACAGCAGTCTTTGCGTGGGCCGTTAAAGAATTGGCAATTCGCCAGCAGCAGAATAGAAAATAAATCAATTATAATACATAAGAAATATAACAATAAAACAATAAGAGTCGTACATCCATAGGATAACGGATTGACTAATGTTTCTAAATGTACTGGATTGTAGTCTCCATCAGCAAGTATTCATTATTAAGATTATTAATCCGTACAATCCTTTGTATGCATGATGTCTACATTTTACTATTTTATCATTGTCAATGGGCCACAACAAATTCCTAGTTTGTGAATTCCCTATTCACTGACAACGGCAATAAAAATAATAAAAAATTCCAAAGCCCAGTGTCAGAAACAACGACCAACTCCCATAGATCCAGGACTGAGGTGATGTTATGGAAATGTTCTGACCCAGTTTGGTCCATCCCAGTTTGACCCAGTGCGCTGCTCTGGTTACATCAATGAGCTTTGTGTTCAGAATGAAGACATCGTCTTAAATTTAGTTCAACCTGATTGGTCTCTGTGCACTAGGGCTTGTGGCCTTAGAATTGAAACCCCTGTATCTGTGAGAGTAAGCTGTAGACCTCCCTGGACTCTGGACCCGGCTTCAGTTCAATGCAATGAAAACAGCGTGTATTGTTTGTGCACATATTCTGAGGTGTCTGTCCAGAGCTGACTGCCCCCCCTGAGGGGAGGCAGATGGCTCAGGGAGCTGACTCACTCACACAGGACTGCAGTTAAATATGCACTTACGTCTATGGCTAATCATTGCAACAATATCATCTAATAAAACAGCATATTTTCACATCTTTTTTGTTTATATAGGATCAGGTATTGTCACTAATTACAAAGTTATAAAAAAAAAACTGAAGAAAATCAGAGCAAAGTTGTCCACATTTAATGAATTGTACATTTTATTAATTGTATATTTACATTTGAATGTGTGCATCTATAACATTAAAGGGCCCTTTGAAAAACAGTAGGTTCTTGTTATAACACTAAAGCCAGTGCCTCTGGTCTGTCCAATCTAACTGTGATCACCTCAAAAATGATAATGATTTAACAAAACAAATACAACCTTTAAACTTTAAATTGTTGCTATATTTGGGCGGCACGGTGATTTTGATGTGCGCACATTACTGTTGCATACAAGAAACCTTTTGTGAGACCCACTACGTCGTATTGTTTAAGGACAAAGAGTGACATGCTTGCTGTCCTTTCTCGTGCAGATATACACTGGATCCCAGGAAAAAGCCCCATATCAAAATGCAGCCCCCGTTCATCAGGCCGGACCTCTCCGACAGACAAGTCACCATCAAGGTCAGCGACAACGGAATCCTCCACAGCAACATGGTCAGCTCAAAGGTGAGATCAGTGACGAGTTGCTACATTGTTTCCTCCTCCAAAACAAACTTGGGATTGTTTTTGGCTTCGTTCAGGTTATTGTCAGGAAGTTTCCCATTCTGTTCAAATGCTCCTACTTCAAATTTGGTACACTATGATGGATCCAGAGATGATGTCAGGACTGCAGCAGTTTCCCTTTTAAAACATATACAGTACTACACTACCATTGCCACTCTTTCTTTAATTGTACATAATATATCCTGAACAGGCTATATTTTTTGCCTCTTACATGTTTTGTATTTTTGTATTTGTTCCTTTCATGAAAATGCTTTGTTCACATGTTCACATAATAATAGTTACATATATATTTTAAACATTTACACGAAGGAAAGGCAAACAATACAATACAATTTATTCTTCTATAGCCCTAAATCACAACAGAAGTCATCTCAGAGTCTTAACAAAACCACTGAAATCACCAACACAGATCAGAGAATCAACAGTTAAAACACATAAAGAACATAGAACACATGTTGATAAATGTCCACACATGTTGTAGAACGTTAAAGTGTCCTGGATCATCTCCACAGTCCTTCTAGTTGGACACTAACTGCCCAACAGACCCTCCTGCATCGGCAAAGAAAAACTCACAAAAACCTCTAGGGGATTCACATAATGAGAGAGGGATCCGCTCCACACAGACGGACGGGCTATGCAGGACTGAAAAGAAAGAATACAATTAAGAAAGAAATACAAATACAAAAGAATACAAAAAAGAAAGAAAAGAAGAATACAATTCTTATATTTTTTTGCCCCGTTTCAAAATCATATCTACCCTGGCCTTTCACATGGTACAATTTTCACACACAAAAAACATTTACATATGTTTTGTTGCAAATCTTTGCATTTAAACAATACATCATTCAAGAAGTGTATTTCATTCAATTTGTTTTACCATATACAACTTTTTCAATTGAAAGATATTTTGACAAAGTTTTGATTCATTTTCCTGAGCATTCCACAGTTTTACACCTTTAACAGATAAGCACATTGGTTTTAATGTTGTTTTTGCAAACTGATAACCTCCTCCTAGAGTTTTCATTTTCTGACGTAACAATAAACAGTGTTAGTATATTTTCTGATAGCGCTGCATTTCTAGCTTTAAACATGACTAATGTTGTCTGCAATGTTTGCACACAAATCTGAGTGATTCTATCCATGCCAAATCTGACATTTGTCCTGTGTGAGATTAATAAAGTCTATCTTATCTTATCTTAGTAGTTTTTCACCACTGTGTATGGAGTGAATGAATAATGCCATGTGAAGCTACTTTTGGGTGTAAAAACCAAGTGCAAAACCAATGCATTATTATCATTATTAATAAAACTGTTGAATGTCTCCTGTCCTAATGTTTGATTTTAATATGAGTTTTGATATTAACAGGAGATTGTTATATACCACTTCTAACACTAGAATCAGTCGGTTTGTTTGTCCAGAACCCAGAAATGCTATGAGAAAAGGGGGAGTCCTGAAATGTTATTAGAGATAGAGGACTAAATATATAAAAGAAGAAAAATAGAGTTTGGAAAACAGGATTCAGGAAGCAACTCTGCATTCTCAAATGAAGTATAAATTGTTTAATGTTTACTTGTATGGCCATAATCCATGCTGCTGGTTTTTTATAACAAATATATTATAGTTTGTCATTGTGGCTATCTAATCCTCGGGTCTAAAATGGACTTTAATCTTACTATGGACAGAATAAATCCTTGGGAAAAGCTGTGAATTTTTCTGCATTTTTGTTCTTTCGGCACTAACTTATTTTGACGTTTTTCATATGTTACGTTTTCTATTTGTCTCTCCTGTCTGTCTGCAGTCCAAAAGCACTCTGGATGTTCTGGATGAAAAAGAAATCCAGCCTCCTCTGCCTCCCAAAGCTGACAGGTACAAAAACCAGCTGACCTCCAGTGAAGGTAAGCAATGCAAACACTCCTCCTTACTCCTCTTCTCTTGTCGGTTTTGGAGAATACATGGGATTTGTATAGCTCTACAGTGACTTGATTCTCATTAGGCTTGATAAATGCCCACCTCAGTGACCGTTCAATGGCCTTGATTTTTCCAAGCTGCAGAGCTGATTTGTGGCAGACGGAGCCCGTTCACTGAATCTGCATCAGATTTGCTGTACGCTGGAGTGAATCACTGCAACATGAATCACTGTTTTTCTTTTCTCTTCTAAGTGGTGTGAGGGAGTGGAGCTCTGCCAACACAATGAAGAGAGAAAGAAAATAGGCTCAAATCTGGACTGTAATTAACATGGAGCCTGTCATTTGGGTTTTACAGCTCAGAAACGATTGTGGCAGTGGGTTTATGAACTACATGTTAGCCCTCAACATTTATAGAACATTTATACAAGTTATATTAAGTGTCAGTACAAGGCAACCCTTAGCAGCAGGTTTTCTCATGAGAATCTCCAGTGTCATGGTGCATTGTATCAGGGTTTAAACCATAGACTGTCAAGCATCTTATGTTGTACACTACAGCCACCTGGTGGTGTCTCTGTGAACTGTTTTACTTGGAGATTTATTTTATCTTTCCAAACACATAATAAATGTTTGTTATTTTTTTGTAGAGAGCTCTCTCTCTGGAAAGACCCACCCCTCGACTCCAGCCATGTACAAATACAGGCCTTCCTTCAGCACCATGCCAAAAGTGCACTATCACAACTCTCAGGAGAAAGTAAGTTGTGTTTTTTTTCTTTTTACTAGGATATTAGACACTGTAATGACCAAATCCATTGTACCCCTTTTCTTAGATTATCATGGGAGAGGAATGTAAGGCTTCGGCCATTCTGGAGGAAGGCGTACGTGGTCACGACTATCGCTCTGAGCCCAACCTGGACCTGCCTGAATACACCAACGCTCCGCTCCACCGTACCTTCCAGTCGTCTCCCCTGCAGCTGGACTCTGATCCGGTGAACTCTCGCTCTCACAGCCTGAAGCAGGCTCAGCGGCGCTCTGAGAGGGGCCACCTCACAGCACTCCAGCCTCAAGCGGTCACCTCCACCCCTTACAAAAGCGTGTTCTCCCCGAACACACTGTCCAACAGGAACGGCAGCCTGTCTTACGACAGTCTGCTCAATCCCAGCATCTCTCCAGCAACTGCCACTGAGTGCATGGCCCACCGCGGGATGCCCACTATGGGCTTTCATTCTCCTTATCTCCCCACTAAAATGTGCCACATTCGTGAACCCGAGAAGCAGAGGCAGCAGGTCCCAAACACCTACAGTCCTGTGATGCCAGTCCGAGTGGGCAGACAGTCCCCTCACCAAAGGGACCGGGACCCCTCTCCAGTGCGCTATGACAACCTGTCCCAGTCCATCATGGCCTCTATTCAGGAGAGGAAGGAGATGGAGGAGAGAGAAAAGCGCCAGATGTTCCATGGGCGCTCACAGCCACATATTTATGCCCAGGATTCGGGTGTGTTTGATGGGCCTGGAGGGTATGGGCTTCCCCCTAGTGGATGTTACTCAGATGGGACTCGCTCTCGAGGCCCAACACCTCCTGCTTACAGTGGCTCTAGAGACAACCTGGTGGGAGTAGGTATGTTAAACTATGGCCAGCGCACCCCGGTCATGCGTCACGGTGGCTCCACCATGGGCCGAGCCCTAAGGACTTCCTCTACTTCACTGCATACTGACCACAGCAGCTCCAACAGCAGCCAGGGCAGAGCCACCGAGGGCTATCGCTCCCCCACACACCAACCTCACTCTCCCAGTGTCCCGCGCTCACCCTCATACTCACACCACAAATTCTCCTACATGAACGCCCATGAAAGGACAGAGTCCCCTCGCCTGGGAGCCCCAAGGTATGACTCTTAACATCTGAGGATGCATGCACTGTGTAAAGTCCAAGGGCCATTTGAGTTCATTGGAAGTCCTTCTGCTTGCAGGTTACCATCAGCATTCTCACTTTGTCTTTCTGTTCCTGTTTATCAATCATTAGAGTGTTTTCAAAATAATTTCTTATTTGTAAATCAAAGTTTTTTTCTTGTAAAATCTACCCTTTCTTCTAATTGTTTTGTTTTTTTGCATGAAAGAACTAATGTTCATACTCATGATCCATTCAACTAACAGCATGCCTAACCCCTCATGGTGTGGTTTTGGCAGTTGAACATAATTTTCCTTGTTCTTTTTTCATTCAGAGAAACCGTAATAGTTAATGGACAGAGGGCCTGCCACTCCAGTGCACCTGGCACCCCCCTCAGCCCCAGTCGACACAGTAGCGTCAAAAAGATGACAGGCATCGGGGGCACAACCTACGAGATCTCTGTGTGAGGAAGTGCTCTGGAGCCACTTCTACAGACTGCAACATCTCCACTGCACTGGTTTAAAGGGCAGGTCACTCCTTTTTTAGCAATGGCTACAACCGCCGCTGCTGAAACCTCATGAATTGTGTAATGTGTTTGAGACACCACTGCTGTCCGGAGGAAATGAGGAGAAATTAGTGCTCATAACCTTTGTCATAGGAGTGGACTTTGTACTTACTGCCTGCCGTGCCGTAGAGCAACAACGTGTCTCCATCTTCTGTCTGTTCTTCCCCTTGACGGGACCTGACTGAGACCTGGTTGAAACTGAGATCTGGATGAGAGGGTCTTAATTTCTGCCTCCAAATGGTGATGGTTTTTTCCGTTCAGGAGTGCAGAAAAGGGCTGTTTTTGTAATGATCAAGTCCGAACCAGGCCATTGCCTTTTCATTTAGACTGTGGGTTTGTCATCATGGTGTTTGTCAGAAAAAAGGTTTGTTTACAAGTACAGTTGTCACACAAACTAGTGCAGACAACACAGACATGAAAAATGAATGAAATAAATTCACCACATGACTTTACAAACAAGGTGCTTTACAAACCCTGCACTATGTTGAGTTCCTTTTTTGATAACTCAACATAAACCGATGGAGAAGCACACATAGGGAGGGCTAACATCATTGAATAATCAAATCTCAAGTTTCATATTTTCAAAAATATACATACCGCCTGTCATATTAATGTATGTTCATTTGTTGGGAATAATTCCTTTAATTCCATTACTTTGGCGATTGTCCTTTCTGCATCATGGCTCAGGACATTGGGTAAATGCAACTATTGCATTTTGATAGAAGAGGATTACCTCAGAGTGGAGGGTGTTGGTCAACATTGCACAACCAAAAGATACTTTTTCTTTATTGGACAAACTTTATTTATACATCTAATACCATAAGTTGGATGTCTGGACATGTCATAACTGGTAAAAAGCTAACAAATCACTGATTTATTTACCCATGTTTTATTTAAAACTTTTATTTCTTACGTTTTTATAAGATAGACAAATAATTTTAGCTTGAACTAGATTGGGGTGTATGTTTAGTCTTCAATGACACAGAAAAAAAAAAAAAGTACCTTGCCGTGTAAAAAGAAAAATGTAACTTTGAAATGTAATTGTATGAAAGAAAGTGAAAGTTACTTTGTATTGAACATCCAAATCAGAACCATCGTCACATGTTTGACAGAAAGCCTAGTGTACCCCTGCTGTCTGGTACAGCATAGTACCACTGTAGGTAGCAGCAAAACTTAGTTGGACCACATTGAAATGAGTTTCATTTAACCACTGTTGCCTTTCAACACGTAATCAAATCACATGATGTAATGCTTGTGTTCAATGAGTTGGTGACTGAAAGTTCAGAAACATTTAAGTAATTCTGCATCTCTCAGATGGGATAGTCTAAACCACAATCATGCATTTGAATTTTAATCCAACTCACCTCTTTATGAAGTCTGCATCTTAACTATTGTTGAGAATGGACCTCACTGCGGGCCAGGGGCCATTTCCAGACATTTTATTTTTAATGGATGTGTACACAAAAAAAAAATATGGATTCATATTTTTGTGAAGAGGAAACGTGTCCCAATGAAGTAAATAAAATTTGCCATTACTCAAGTGGTTGTGTCTTGTTTTGAATTCATGGAATTAAACAAAGTTGGTCTTGGAGAGCTTTTATTCAAAGGTGGAGGAAACAAATCTCAGCAAATGAAAAGCAACATTTTATCCAGTTTTACAGACGCACTGGCACTTAAGAGCAAGGATATCATTAGTGAGGATTAGGTGAAGATTGGTTGCTACATTTACTTACCACGCTTTAAGTCTGGGAATGTTCAATATACAGTTTTAACAGTGGAAAAAGAAATGCATAGATGTAACAAACCGAGCCAATGACCTTAAAATAAAAAAAATATGCAAAAAGTCTGCCTTCATTGTGCATTGCTCCGTTTCACATGCACCAGACTGCCTGGAGTGAGTATCTCCATTAACCCAGGAAGGCCACCAAGCACCCGCTGAGGACCACCTGACCTGCCTTCACACCGGCCACTACTGGAAACAAGGACACTGAATAGGGCAAGATGTACAAAGGATTTTATATCAACACCTGTAATGCCCTGTACATCCTGTGCAGGCTAAATCCTCTTAGTCTACACATTTTAACAAAAAACAAAAACAAAACACCCAATGTGGGAATTACCACTATCACAAGTCTTTTTGCTTATAAAATATTGATGACATATGGAAAGGTAGCGTTGGGGATAAGGGGGAGGCTTTTTATCTCAAATTCAATATATTGTTAGTTTTTCAGTGGTAGCGAGGACTTGTGATCTTGAAGCAAAACTGATAATAAAAATAACTAATGGAAGTGTCCAAATTTCAGTTCCGTTACAGTCTATTGTAGAAAAGAGAAAAACTGATATTTCGAAGGTCAGCAAAAGCAAGTTCTTATCAATTCTTTTCTTCTGTCGTGACCTCCTTTTTCTCATCGTTCTTCTCAGTCTCCTTTTTCTCATCGTTCTTCTCAGTCTCCTTTTTGTCCTCTTCCTTCTTACCGTCCTTTACAGAAAGGTCCTCTAATTTCTTTGCCACTTTGTCTGGTCCATCCTCATCTGTAAACAGCAGGCAGTCCAATTAGTATGATTAGCTTGAAAGAACAATTATGTAATTTTGGAAACTACATGATACCTTCTACTTCATTTTGTTTTAATGAATTATTTAAAAGGTGAAACAAGTACCAGTGCTTCCATCCTATCCTTACTACTACTACTACTACTACTACTACTACTACCAGAGGGAGAACTTTCTTTCCAAATTTACAAATCACAGCGGTGTTTGCAACCAGTAATTTTCAAAACGTCTATTAATCTGCGTAATCTAAATTATGGACACTAGTTTGTACAATGGTTACTTTAAAATGTTCATCAAATGTGGCAATGTGAAAACATGTCTTGATGCGTCCATAGAAAAGACTTTACCAACATTTTGTAATGCAGTTTTTCATTACTGAAGCCCATGCAGTTTGGGCAGAATAAAGCTCCTTTAGTACATTTGGCAGAGTAATTTCCCCAAAGTGCTCATTATATTTATCTGTCAGTGATTATGTCACTGAACACATCAAAATCTGTTAACCTAATGCTCACAGGCAGTTTGAACAAATTGATTTAGAGTTCCTCCAAACATTGCACAGGCACCAACGGCAATGACAATGACGTTTTGCACTTAAAATAATGCATTTAAAGCGGGTTGCACTGAAAGTGACTTAACTATGACCAGACAGAAAATACTCAGCTAAAGCAAATGTATTCATTTACAGTTTGTAAAGACAAAAAATAGAATGTGGCAGAACACACACACACACTGGGTTTTAAAGAAAGCCAGTTGACTGTTGCATTCTGCAGAATTATGTAGCAGACAGAAAAAGTTCTAGGCAGGATGAACGGCAAAGAACAGAGTGAGTCTGCACAGTGCACACAAATTATAGTGTAATTTTAGATTGTGCTTACCTTTATCTTTGAGAGCTTTTCTAACTACCTCCTTGCACTCTTCAAACTTCACCTTAAACTTTTGAGCATCTGTAATAAAGCGCAAATGTTATAATAATTGACAAAAAGCATAATCTATTTATATATAAAAAACATCAACTTACTTTCAGAGTTTAAAAAACGTATTGCCAACAGTTCAGCTTTTGGGCTCTCATCAGCATAATCTGCCAATGTATTCCACACCCAGGCCCGGTCACTGCCTGCGTTTGGCTTTAGCTCCATCGCAGGAGTAACTGTGGCATGAAACGCAAAGAGTGAAACAGCGCTGCAGTTAAAGAGACAATCCAAGCCCAGTGTTCAGCTGCACTCACTGTGATGGTTGGCACAGATCTTCAGTGTTCGGTCTCTCCTCATGAGAAGGCGGATGCTGCCGGACTCTTTGTGCTTCAGAAGTTTCACATCTCCAGTCCCTCGCTCCTTCCACTCTGGAGGCTCGTTCTCTGAAGCAAACCGATAAAGTTTGGCCCGCCTGCAGTTGAGTTTTAGAATATTACTATCAAATATTGGTCAATGGTTGAGTGATAATGTGGAAAATAAATGCGTTCACAATACATTTTAAACAGTTCCTCCTCGTCCTCTTCTAGTGTTTTTATGTCCTGTTCGGGAAGGCTCACAATTGGATCATAGTGGGGATCATGATTGGAGTCCTCAGCTGCATCTGCTGCTGTCGTTTCTTGTTCCTCTTGGTCCTGAAAAACATGACAGGATGATACTTCAGTACATCAATATATACTACTGTGAGTTACAAGCCATGAAGTTAGTCTTTACAACGACCCAGGAATGAAGTCTTTGCAACAATCCACATGCAAAAGTTTGGCTCAACAACATGCTTATTTGCAATAACTGTCCACGGTGATCTCACGAATAAGTTGTGCTACATCAATGAGAGCTAACAGTTTCTCCCTTTCCCCATCAGATTTACAACTACATGCAGGCGGTACTTCACCTGAACATCGACGTCTGCAACAAACGCAGTCAAATCCAAAAGAGCAAACACCGTTGATTTTCGATTATGTTTTAGTTTGACGCATACCAACAACACTCGTGACCATGAAAGCTACATTTAGCCAACTCATGTTAGCAACTCTTGGAGCCGGAGACAAAAAAAAAGCATGCACATAGTCAGGCGTACCACTTTTGTCAACAATACATAGATAAAAAGCCGTGACACGTGTGTTTTACTGATCGAAAAATAGACGTGACATTTTCTGTATAAAGTATATAGCATGCATCGCGCAGAAACCTGTGGCTAACGTGTTGTACAACTACTTCCAGTGTCACTGATCACCAACTACAAATCACACGTTAACACCCCATTTTATATATTAAATCGAGCACTTCTCACCAAGAAAACAGAAATCGTTAGACGTTTTGGCTTTAGAAATAGTATCACAAATTATCGGCATTTGATTGGATGATTAGAGTACAAAGTTAGTCGCACTACAGCAGTTAATATTTGAGTATTTACAACTCAATTCCTCTTTGAAACGAAACATAATGTAGATGACGGTCCGCAGCGCTTGTTCCCACCTTTGGATCTGCCATAGTTGTGTAGATGTTTTAAGATGATCGAAGTTGTGAGATAGATTCAAACGCCGAACTGGCCGCCGTTCCCTTCACTTCTAACTTCCGGCTACAGTTTCGCGCGCAACAGCTCTCGTTTCCTTTCAGCGCCCCCTGTCTGCCACCGGAGGAACTGCACCCCGCCATAACGCTTCGAAAACATTGTTTTTAAAGACGAGCCACGGAAATTTTGCTATCTCCCTAGCCTTGCTTTGAAGATAAAACAGACACATATATTCACACTGTAAAATATTATAACAAGTTGCCCTGCGCTGTCCCTTTAAGCACTTCGCAGCTGTCACATGGTACAAAATCAAGATGGCGCCGCCCTGACCCTGTGTACATCACTGTCCATTAGTTTTCCATGCGTGAACTGAAGAGAGTAATATTTGAGAGTTGGTAAAACAGAGCATAAGGTAGAAAGTGAAGGTAAGCCAGTAATATATTTATTTCAATGGGTATAGAGGAGGAGAAGAGACTAACGCACAGGACACGCATGGCACGCGTATTGTAGTTCTATTTGAAGTTATGTGTATATTAGGGTTGTCAAAAGTATCCAGAAGCGGATACTTATCAATACCAAACTAGTATCGAAACTAGATACTAATTTAAAAATCTATACATACTGTAAAAGCACTTAAATCATAGAATATTAGAACTACTAGTATAAGCTTTTCATTAATAAGCAGTCTACAGTGTTGCATTGTTATTCATGTAAAAATCCAGTCAGTCCATCCATTTTCTTCCCCTTAATCCATTTCTGGGTTGGGGGGTTGGCAGTCAGAGCTGCACCCAGTACACTTAGTACCAAAAATCCAGTCCATTGTACAAAAAATATATTCGTTAGATTATCACTGGTATTGAGTCTATAGTATCTGGATCGACCTCGTAATTGTAGTACTGTGACACACTTTTTTATGTTCATATGCTCATACAGATAATAATTGTTTTTTTAATTAATAAGAGCTTTTACTGGCCACCTTACTTTCACATCTTTCTTGATTACTAGTTTGAGTTTTACTTCTCCAGTATAATGTATTCTAACGTTGTACCCTCTTACAGAAACGATAAGATTGTTTTAACATATGGAGATGGCAGAAGTCAGTGATAGCCCTGTGCCTGTGACGCCACCTGTGGATGAGGAGAGGTCCACAGCGCTCCAAGAGGACAGTAAACCTGGGGAGGGCGAATCATCAGACCCCACCATGTATCGCTACATCAAAAACGACCTCTTTACCTCTGAGATCTTTAAGGTGGAGATTCGAAACCTGCCTAAATTTACAGGGTTTAATGATCTGAAAAAGTTTTTGGCCAAGCACAACCTCAACCCGCACAAAATCAAGCTATTTGGAAAGCAGACGTTTGCTTTTGTGACCTTTAAAAATGAAGAGGAGCGAGATAAGGCAATGAAGTTGGTGCATGGGATGCAGTGGAAAGGCCAAGTGTTAAGTGTTAGGCTGGCGAAGCCCAAAGCAGACCCCATCATGAGAAAGAGGAAGCAGGAGGAGACTGAGGGGCCTCCATCGAAGAAGGCAGAGGGAGAAGAAGAGAAGGAGGAGGAACTGAGTGTCCAGATCGCCAATGTGGTCACGCCGCTATGGAATATACCCTATGAGGAACAGCTCCGCAGGAAAGAGCAGGAGGTGGTGTCTGTGCTGCAGAGACTGGCCAAGTGAGTCACACATCACCCTCATAATATCCTTGAGCTTCTTTTCCCAGTCCTCCATCTTTTTAACATTGTCCTTATCAAACATAAATACTAGTATGGGTGATTGGTTGATGAAGATGGATTGTTTTTTGTTGTTTTTTTTTTAAATTAATCTTTTCTGTCTGTTTTTATAAAGCCGTGCTAAAGCAGTGGACAAACACATGGGTTGATTGCAATATTCACTTCAACCTTTCACAGTTTAATCATCAATTAACCCATCTTTTAACATGGTATAACTTATATCTTTTCAAGCTTTATTGTATCACTCCAGAAAAAACATAAATGCTTCCTGTATTTTTGATTGTTCTAAGATTATGATCTGAATTAATTTGAGGTAATTTAATTCAACTGTGCTTGAGATTGTGTGCTGTACTACCAATATAAATAGATTTTTCCCAGTCCAAAAATATTCCATAGATTTGAAATGGATAACCATAAGTATACCAGGTATGTTTTTGGAATTCTAATTGTTCATGTTGACAGTAAAGCCAGAACTTGGTCCATCTCTTACCTACTTACTTACTATTTGTGCTTTAATAAATGTGCGAGCAAATATATAAACTGCTTTTGAAGAACATCTTATCCTGATAGGGAGATTGGCAACACCAACAAAGCCATGTTACCGTGGCTGTTTGCACAAAAGGGAAAATATAACAACATGTGCTGCCCATTGGAAGATATCCGTCCTTCCCCTACCCAGGTAAATCTGTCTGGATGTTTATTGTTGCATTATTTTTTCACGTCTGAACTTGAGTTTGATACTTTCTGTGTGTCGTAGAGGGAGTACAGAAACAAGTGTGAATTCCTGATTTCAATGGGGGCAGATGGAGAGGACAAAACTATAGGATTTCGACTGGGAAAATATAAAGGAGGCTCTTGTGCCGTGGTCGGTCCAGCTGAGACCAGTCACGTCTCAGCCGAGGCCAAAAGAGTGGTCCGTGAGTTCCAGAAGTTCATCAGGTCGGTCTCATTCTTGGTGTTATCAGAGTGACAAGTTAAAGTTAATTAAGACAACTAATAATGCTCATGTTTTTTTTTACAGGACAACTACTTATTCAGTGTACAGCCCAGAGACTTACGAAGGGCACTGGAAGCAACTAACAGTTCGAACTACAAGGACAGGACAAGCTATGGCGGTAGCTTTCTTTAATCCACAGGTAAATATGACAATGGAGATGATGAAAAGGATTTGAAAAGAATGATCAAAACATATGAAATTAGTCCTTAAAGTAGAAAGTAAAGTTTTAGATAAATTATTATAAACTTCACTGGACTTCAGACTTAAAACACATGCCAAAATGCCGAATGCTTTTGATTGACTCGAAGCCACCCCTTTTAATGTACTGAAATTACTTTTTATAATTTTTATCTTACGTTTTTTCTTAAAGTGAATGTCAGTTAAAGTGAAGACAAGCACCGGTTAGACTCGCCCATGTTCACCTCTGCATATTTCTGATTGGTCAAAATATTAATCCTTGAGTCCCTTTGTGATTGGTTTAACTGTTTTTCTCTAGACATCACACTGGTCGTAATTATGTGCAGGGATAGGGACTATTTTAGATATGCTGGTGTTGACAAATTCTTGCTGTACATAAGGGTAGCATCCCAATGGGAGGAAGTATACATTTGTTTTGATAATCTGACAACACTTTTTAAATCTAAGCCCTACCCCTCTGTGCAAAATACTGTTGCTGATTTGCTTTAATTCATGAATGTGCACGATAGAAACTCGAGGAGACTGAACTGGACACTTTGAAAAGCTCCATGAAAAAGTACTTCATGGAGGGAGAGGGGAAAGAGGGCGGCATCACATCGCTTTACTTTGTCAGAGAAGGGCAAAGGTGGGAACTTTTACGGAATATTTGCGGCACAATTATACGGTTGTGACAATATAATTTAAATGCTGTAAAGGACATCTCCTAACCCTGAAGACTTGCCCTGTGAGCTGGTGGGCGGAGAGAGCTGCATTTTTGAAGAGCTTTTGGGACTCAAGTTTCGAATCTCACCACATTCATTTTTCCAGGTAACTCAAATTTACAGCAATGGTTAATAATGTTGTGTTTTATAGCTGTTTTTCTTATTAATTGTCTCTGAAGGTGAACACGGGAGCGGCAGAGGTGCTGTACTCTACGGTTGGAGAGTGGGCCCAGTTGGATGAGAACAGCACACTCTTGGATGTTTGCTGTGGGACCGGGACCATTGGGATATCTTTAGCAAAGGTTAGCATGTTGCCTGTTAAGCACAATCTATAAGCAATTAGGCCAAAGTATCCAACTCTATGTAGATGCAGTGTTTCCCTATTACCTATTGGTGAGAATTCTGGGCTGTACAAGATCCCATTTTTTTACTTATTGTCTTAAAGAAGAGAGCGAGAGAGATAAATGATACATTAGCAGAAGGTCTTGTTACAGCTAATATAAGACTTCTGTGTATTGGTTTCATGTTCAACCTTTTCACATTTGTGCAGCATTTGATTCTTGGGCATTACATTGTGTCCATATGAGTTTTAAAACATCTGGAATATTAATGTTATATTAATGTTAAATACATTTGCGTTGTGGCACAATTGTGTGTGCTCATTGTTTACTACTCAAACTAGCACTGCCGGTAATCATTTGTCTTTAGAACTAGGACATGCTCTCCTTAGGGTTTCTTATTGTTGTATCAGCTCCTTAAGGAGAACCTCAACAAATACTAGGAAGAATGTTTTCGGATGCATCCCAGGCCTTTTTTGATGTGTGAACAACGTTGTAATTGTAAACAAGTAATTATACTAAATATAAATAGAAAATTCTTGGTGGGAGAAATCATTCAAATTTAAAAGCCTTTCTAAAGCCTTCCTTGTGCCAAACACGCAGACATTTTTTATTCCCATGAAGTGTTCTGGGCTTCTGGAACGGCTTGACTTATATAGGTCTTTAAAGTCTACTCATTATGTGTTGCTTTAATATTCCAGAGGGTGAGAAAGGTGATAGGCATTGAGCTTTGTCAAGAGGCAGTGGAGGATGCCAAAGTCAATGCAAAACTTAATGGTAAGAAGTTTTTCCGTTTCAAATGTATATGAAGATTCTAGTAAGTGGACAATATTCGCATATTTTGTCTGTTTTCAGGTCTGAGTAATATTGAATTTCATTGTGGCAAGGCTGAGGATGTGTTCCCCAGTATCCTGAGTGGTCTTGTTACATCCAACCTCACCGCAATTGTGGATCCACCAAGAGCAGGCTTGCGTGAGTCAAATGCCGACCAATAAACCAGTTGTTTTGACTATTCCAGAATATAACGCAAATAACATCAATGTCCCAACAGATTCCAAAGTGGTCCTTGCTATTCGAAGAGCAGAGCACCTGAAGAGGCTGGTCTACGTTGCCTGCAATGCAAAAGCTGCTATGACCAACTTCATTGAGTATGGGAATGTTTAACGTAAAATAATTAACATAACATTTTGCTAAGTTATAATCTTCTCCGCTCATGTTTCAGCCTGTGCCGGGCCCCTTCAAACAGAGTCCACGGAGCCCCCTTCCGGCCGGTGAAGGCCCTAGCCGTGGATTTGTTCCCCCAGACGATGCACTTTGAGCTGGTTCTACTTCTGGAGCGAGTGGGATATGAAAGCAAACCACCAGAGGACAGTGGCAGTCAGCACCAGCAGCAGCAGCCAGGGTCATAGTGAAAAATGTCTTAGCACACAAAGGGAATCTAATTTGAACTGATGCTTTTGTATTATTAATTGGAAATACAAGAAATGACATTCTGATACAGATAAGTTTTGTATGTTTCAACCTAAACTTATATCATTTACTTTCATGTCCCTGCTCTTACGTCAATAAACTTCTCACAAATATTCTCCAGGACATTTTATTCAGCATAACAAATTGCTATACATACTTCATCTTCTAAAAGACATTTCATTATTTAGCAACAGCAACACAAATGTCTTGCACCGACACAGCACAAATAGCACATTCCTTAAGCAATCTAAATACAATTCTATTTGACACCAGCCAGGTTAAAATGCAGATGCCTTGGCTGCCATTTAAGCATGTTGTAAATGCGACAGCTTTGGTTATTGTAAGACTCCACACTAATGAAACTGGACCAGTTTTGAATACTAGCCAGTTAATAAGTACTCTAGCATTAGTTTTCCCATTTCATTTGAGGGTGTTTTAGGTCCAATATGAAATGGATTCTAAGGCAACATGGAGCCAATAGGACGGGAAGGCGGCAAAAGAATACAGTAGTACCAAATGTGCATTCCTTTTATATAAATAAAAATGCCGTATTATGTGCCTAAGCTTATTAGTGTCAATGTAATTCTTTCTTGCCAATATTAGAAAACAAAATTGATTTTTTGAGAAGGCTTTTTAGTCCACAAATCAGTCCACAAATAGAACAAGTGCATAACAACCTTGAATAATTATGACTTCACAACACAAGCATTCAGCGTGCAAATTAAGACAGCTTTTTTTTCTCGCCAGCAAATTAAAAAGGAATATTTAGCGCTCAGAACTAAATGAAACCAACCACACTGCGAATCAATGCAATTCACTCTTCTAGCATGACACGGAGCATAAATACTTTAATAGTAGTCCCTTTTTTAAATAGTGTAAAGCACATATTGGAACAATAGACTGTAGAAAACTTTTTTTTAAAACAAACCAAAGTGGAAGAAGCGAGCATGCAAGTTTATATCGGGACCTCTTGACTACTCAAAACAGAGGTAGATGGCATATGCTGACGTGTGCATGGTAATCCTTCTTACAGACATTTTCAGAATAAAAATGTGACCTAACGATGCAAGCAGCTCGACTAGAAGTGATGCGATTGAAAGGTAGAACGCATGTTTTTGACAGTGATTGGTTTCAGTGGTGGTCTAAGAGACTTCCTCAAACGTCAACAGTGCAGAGGGGTTCGCTGCCGGGCTGAGCCGATTCCATAATGGTCATCTTAGGTTTGTTCCTGGTCTCCTCCTGTGGAGCAGCAAATGTGTAAGAAAACACATTAACACAAACGACTCAATTAGACGTGTGCTCGCAACATACCCTCTGTTTGGCCAGTTTTCTCATTTCCTCTTGCAGTTTGTTCAAGATGTGCAAGTTTGGCTTGTTCTTTTTGGCGTACTGCTGAAGTTCGATGACGCTCTTGTCGGAGCTTTCCTGCAAAACACATTCAACATCCTCACTTGACCATTTGAAATACTATATGAATAGCTAAATAATTGGCCCCATTCTCAAAACAGCCCAGAGTTCCCTTTGGCAAAGTGGATTAACATACAACCTCACACAAAATCAGTTTACATGAAAATAATGTACTTCACTAATATTCAAATTCCACTGATAAAATTAACAGGCCTTCTTCACACTAAGCCTCATCTTGGTGTCAAGGTCTGACTTTTTCACTTCATTCTCAAAATCGGAGGGTGATCAACTACTGCCTTGTGGTTGCATACTTCAAAAATTGGATACATACTTTGAGTGTTCTGGTAAAATGTTTTGTCACAATGCTAACTGTCACGATGCTAACTAGCACAAGTGCACTAGCCTTTCAAAGTGTCCTAATAAACACATTGAAGCCGTAACAACTTGATCAGCATTCAAAAATATATGTGCAAATCACTTTGTATGTCCAAAGATATTTTCAAGCACATCTTTAAACATGTCGTAGTTCTGTTACTCTAGCGCCCTCCAGATCATTAAAGGAGGATAAAGCCAAAGACAAGTCAATTTTGCTGCCAGACTTCTGAATACAGAATATTGTTGGGGATGTAGTTACACCAAACAAAAGGTGAAAGAGTGCACCAAGCAGATATCCATATGATGGAATTCCATTTGTCTTTTTGGTTTCACCTTTCTGAGTATGACTAATGTTATAGGGTCTATGCATTATTATATAGTTGTACCTTCTTCACCATCTTGTTGCTCTCCCTGCCGTACATTCTCAGCAGTGAACCCCAGTTTTTCACATGTGGATGAAGCATTTGCAAAATCTTTTGAGACGCCAATTGTTTCCCAACTCGTTTGTTTTTACCTGTTTTAATAAAATAATGGTGTTTAATGGTCAATTCAATTAGATAAATCATTTAACGCTGCTGCTTTGAACTTACACCAGCCTCGTACGGTGTGCTTCCCACAGGTCATCACGTATTCACTCTTCTGGTTTTTCCCCGGAATCACTTCAAATTTAATGCTAGTGTCCCCCATACCGTGGTTTCTATGGTGACAGAGGGGACATGTCAGAACTTTCCATCTCTCTCTTTATGTGCTTTACCTCACCTTTTAAGGCACTCGTGTAGTATCTGATATGGCGAAAGTAGTCCTGCTTTATTGGTCAACTCGTAAACTCTTGAGTCCTCTATACTGATATGATTAAAATACTGTGGGAAGATAACATTCAAGTTAATTCAACCAAAATCTTAAACACTAAAAAATGCAATTTCCAAACCTACCTCCAATTCATCTCCCTCCACCGGCTTCTCCTCTGAGGTTTGCTTCACAAAGTCAGGGATGAGGATTTCCAGTGTGGCACGAGCTAAAAAAATGTTTTTTTTTAAACATAATATTCCATACATATAAGTCAATGAAATATCTTGTTAAGAAAACGCAATTACCAGCTTTATTCTTGGCAAGTTTTTTACTACTTGCAGTTCCTGTACCATAGGTTACTCCATCAATAATAACAGACGCTCCAAAGGGTTCACTTGGGTTCTCTGAAACAACATCTTTTCATCAGCTTTTGCATCACAGAAAATGTCTTCAAAAAGTATGCATCGCACACCAAAAAAACCTCTAAACTTATTTGAAGACTTTCCAGCCAGTACTTACTTTATCAGACCATTCTTTTCCCCACTAAATAAAATTAAACTGTGGTCCAAAAAGGGAAAAGAATGATCTAAGGAACGCTATAATAGCTGAAACGTCATCAAATGAATATTTAACATCTACAATTGTGAGTGTGCCACACTTTTTGTTTTGGTTTATGAATGAATCTTACCACATTCAAAAAAGTTGTAAACAGGTCGAACTTTTAGGACACGTTGCATATATTCGTGAAGGATGCAGACTTCAGACTTGCCATTCGGGTTGATAACAAATTCTGAAGAAAGAAGACGTTCAATCATCTTATGGGGCATATTTTTGTGTTACATAAAATGGTCACATTCTTAACCAGGCTACCTTTCTTGGTGGGTGCATCTTGGACAGAGAGTGTGATGAGCTTTTGATTGGCGGGCAGAATGGGCCTCTCTGACTCCGCCTGCTTCCTCTTCATGTCTCTGTTGAACTGCCTGCGCTCAGCCCACGTGCGAAACTTCTTCACCGTGACTTGTTCAAAGTCAAAACGCTTCTCCAAGTAACGGCGGAAATCTTCAAGTTCTGCAAACAAGACCAAATCCAGTTAGAGATCAGAGCTCCACAATGTTGGTAAAAAAAAGTGCAATATGCGATGCTGGTGTCTCGGACTGCAACGACATATATTGGAATGATTTCTTTTCCCCAAAGAAATATCTGCACGAAACTTTTTTTTTTTACAAAATTGAATACATTTCTTTGTATTGAAGGCTAAAATACATTAACATTTCATTCACGCCAGTCGTAAATAAGTTCATACATGCAAAGTTAATTTAAAAGTTAATTTAAAGTGGGTAAAATATCCAGAGTAAGACCTCCAACTCTGGAGATTATGAATATTGCACATGCTATAGTCGCAATGCAGATATTTTTGGATTAATCGTTCATCCCAATTGAAATATCCAGAAACATCAATAGCCTTACCTATGGACTCGTCTTTACAGACCTCCACCTTGGCCTTGACCTGTCCCAGAGCCCCATGTGCGGTGTCACATAACTGCGGGTCTTTTCTCACGGGTTGGGCCTCAGCTTCTCCTAAACATTCAGGCTGACTGGAGGAGGGCACGTCTGCGTCATCTGCATCCCCTGATGGACAGCTGGGTGTAGTACTGCTCATCACGGCTTCATTGTCCACTTGACTGGGTTTAACTAGAGACTCGTTGGCGTTGGAGGTTACTTCACCGTTGAGCTCCTTTTCCTCCTGTTCCCTCATATTCTTATAGTGCAGACAGGGGATACTGCTCGTGGGAGGGTCGTGTTTCTGTTGAGTATTTAGGAATGAATCACGGAAAATCTGGACTTTAAACCTCATATATATGTTCAGGAAGGTTAATAGATCCAAGTAGTTCAAGCAAGTTACAGAGATGCTTCGTTTGGTTGTCTTACCCTTATGCTCCCGGTGCCCAGGAAGTAGGGTCTGGACCAGGTCACCACTCTGGTCTCTCTGTGCAGGTAGACTGGAATGCCGGAGTTATGGAATGTCATGATCCATCCATCAGGGAGAGGCTCAGTGGGAGGACGCCCCCTACCTGCCATACATTACACACAGTTACAAATAGCAACTAGTATACCTGTAAAAAATTGTCAGTTCTTCTTGTTCATGTTTCAAAAAAGTCCCCAGCGCAGCACTGGTCTACAGAAATAACCCAGCTGCCCACTCACTCTTGAGAACAGTCTTTATTTTGGTCATCATGGGCTGGACACCTCCCTCTCCGTCCGACTGGTGGTCACTGTCTCCTCCATCTGGTTCTTCTGATGGACGCATCTTTTTGGGCACCGGCATACCCTCCTCTAGCAGGGCATCCACATCATTGTCAAACTCCTGGAAGAGTCAGTGGTTAAGGGAAGGACATGTGTGTTCAGGATGTGAAGAGATGAGTGGAACAAAAAGTAAAAAACAAATATAACACGTTATTATATTAGTATTCTGAAAGAAAAAACAATAACAGGATTCTATATTGTTTCATGCCATACTTTATAGATGGATCAAATGTTACTCAGACTGAAACTACTGGAATTATTCAAAGCTGGGATACCAAACCTCATAACTGTTTGGTCGTCCACTGTCAAAGCTTTAGATCAGATTTTTCCGACAGAGAAATGAAAAAGAAGGCTACTCTCGCTCAGCCCAATGTGGGAAAAAACTGACTCAAGAAGCTGCTCCTTACAAGTATGCATAAGATAATGTTTTATAATAAGTAGACACCATGTTGTGGTCTGGCATTTTATTTTTACAAGGCTACTTCTGTTGGGACAAACAACTTTCGATTACTCATGAAATAAACAGTCAGGTACCGATAAACATTAAACCTAGAGTATCTACTTGTTGTTTCAGAGAATTTCAAGTCTTAAGTAACATTTTGTGAACATACTAGACAACATGGTCTTTCTCTTAGTTTAACATTTGCCCATCTTTTGCATTCTGAGAGCTGATGGGCTGAGTGAGGAAATGGCTGATTGAGATATGAGAGGCCAAAAATATGTGAAAAGCAGAGTGTATTATCTAGATTATTGGTTTTGAAAATAAATAAATAAAGGCTGACATAGTAGCAGATGTAAGGGCATCTTCACACCATGCCCAGAGACCACAGCCAAAAAGGAGTTAAAAAAACAATAATAAATCAACATATACAAAAAAAATATGAAAACGTTTTTTAAATGGTGAAGAAGTCCACTTATAATGAATTGTATTAGTTCAAGAATCGGCGTTGCGGCCCTAAATATGGCACAAAAGCACGAATGAGTAGAGAAAGAGATCACCCAACATACCTCATAGGAGAAAGCCACAGCCTCGTCATCGGCTTGCCCTTGTTGTGCTATGACGTCAGACTTAAAGCTGCCGGCATCAGGGTCCAAAAAGTCCTCATAGAAGTCTTCAAACTCATCCAGGACGGCATACTCGACTTTATTTTCCATATCTACTTCATTCTCCTCAGAAAATAACTCTACTGCATTTTCAGAGCTCCCCTCTCCTCCACCTTCCTGATCACTGGTTAAATCATGTGTTGCACCATTTACATTGTCTAAACAGTGACCTGAACCTGCTTCACGCCCCTCACCTGTGTACAAAACCTTCCTATCTTTACTATTACTGCTGCTGCTGCTCTCTGCAAAGCTCACACGAATTTTAACATCTCTGAGAAGTTTCAGATCGGGCAGGAAATTTGTGACCAAGGGAGCGTGCCGACCGGTTCTCGGACAAACTGGGATGGGACTGGCCTCATTTTTAATATTACTGAAAGTTATGGAGGTCGAAGCAAGGGGCTGATGTGGCTGGTCTTCCCCGTCCCCTGGGGTGTCTGTGTGTCCATCACCACCAGAGCTAACGTCCATTACCTCTGCGTCACTGGACGTTTGCAGGGGAGGTGGTGGAGGTGCTCTATCCGCGTTTTGGCCCAAATCGTGAGGCGGCTCCAAGGGGAGGGGGGGTAGAACATCATCAATCTCCATTTCTATCCTAAATTACTTATTACAAGCTTGTGATCAACACAATCTGGATACTTTTGCTATGAAATTGCAATACACGTACGGAGCGCATCCCTGTATCGATCATGTACCGTGGTTGAACATGCTAAGCTGACTACATTGTTCTTTTCATTAATGTAGACAGCTTTCAGAATCACTGTCTCTATTATTGGAAATCACAATGCATTCAGCTTATGGGGCTCTGGGCACAGATCATCCTCCTACGTGAGCGTCTGGGAGCTGCAAAAAGAAGATAGAATAGCGAGAAAATCAACCCGGTGCAAACTTCTAAACAAGACACAATACAAAAGGTTTATGCTTATAACATGCATTGGTGGTGGGTAAAGAGCGAGAGCTAACGGTATACAGGGCCCGTGTCACTTTAGCTAGGGTGAAGCTAATAATGAGAGCTAGCTTAACCACTTTTTACATTTCCATATTGTTCTTTATCATGTTAACTAGACGCCATGACATCAGCTCTTACCAACAGATATGGTCACCCCTGCGACTGCGCTATGAAGCTTATTAACTTATTGAATGGTCAAAGAGGCTTGAGCGCGCCTCGGTTGCAGCGCAGCCATCTTGAAGCAGACACACAGCGGTTAACCCAAACCTAACCGGCGAATACCCGCCACAGAGCTGCCAGATCACGCGCGCAAAATTCAGCACAAAAGTACGTTAAAAAAGTACGTTAAAACATTAAAATAATACACTCTATGGTTACAACAGTACGAATTTGGAATTTGAAAAAAGACATCGATTTTCTCATAGGGATTTGGAAAATAATTCAAAAGTTGGGAAGCTTGTGCCAGATGTATCAGTTATTTGGTAAGCAATGGCCATAATGTCTAGATTTACATTTAAAGCCGAGGTACCAATTTTTTTTCGTATCTTAAATCCCCTAAGTGTTGTTAAAGCTTTAGAGTATATCAAACCACATTTTGCTGTAAACGTTTGCACATTCGTAAGAACAAGCTTATAATAGATCCATGGCTATTTGACGCTTTGAGCCGAGAGCGGATTGGATGAGGGGTGGTCCGGTCCTCTTTTTTTCATTTTTCACTTGTCTGAGCTCATCTTAAGTGACAAAGGCCAAAAACACACGCACAAAAACTTGTGACAGAACATATACAGGTACGCACAGAACCAAACCGTTTTGGGAATTTATCATGGATTTTTTGAGAGTTTCACTTGTTATTACTTGTTGCACATCTGGTCAGTTTACGGATGGCTGTGCTTTTTCAATGGACATTACCACAGAGGTGGCAAACCATAACTGTATGAAAAATTATCAGCTCAAACCCTTTAATGGTTTCCGCAACCATTTGGTGGATCACATTTTGAGTCTACTTGAAGCCTGAAGCTGAAATCTACCTCATTGTTGCATCTTTATCACTTGGTTTTAGGCACTTTTATCATCAAACTGCATCTAGACCATTTGATAAAGGTCTAAAATAAACAAGGTCAGAAATCTAGGGGTAATACTGGACTTAGACTTAAATTTTAATGGCCACATCAAATCAGTAACAGCAGCTTTTTACCATCTAAAAAACATTGCCAGGATCAAAAACATAGTGTCTAAAGCAGACTTGGAGATTCTAATCCATGCATTTGTCTCCAGTAGGTTAGACTACTGCAATGGCCTGCTCACAGGTCTGTCCAAACAGGCTGTAAAACAGCTGCAGTACATTAAAAATGCAGCAGCTCGAGTCCTGACTTGAACCAGGAAGTACGATCACATTAGTCCAGTTCTCAGGTCTCTGCACTGGCTTCCTGTGGCTCAGAGAATAGACTTTAAAACAGCTCTGCTTGTGTACAAGTCTCTCCATGACATGTTAGTCCCATATGAACCAGCCCGGACTCTGAGGAGCACAGGGACTGGACTCCTGTTAGTGCCCAGAGTCAGAACTAAACATGGGGAGGTAGCTTTTCAGATTCATGCTGCTAAAATCTGGAACAGTCTTCCTGAAAGTGTGAGACAGGCCTCCTCTCTGACAATGTTTAAAACCAGGTTAAAGACAGTTTTGTTTGCCTGTGCATACAACTGAGGGTTTTTATATTTTGATCTTTCTTCTAATGTTCTGTGATTATTTATGATTTTAATGCTTTCTTATTTTGTTCAGCACTTTGAGTTCCCTTGTGTATGAATTGTGCTATATAAATAGTCTTGCCTCCTACATTTTAGAGGGGAAAAGGTATATTGCTTTCTTTAAGAGTGAACATTAAAGGGTTTAACCAGATGTTGATGGCTTATTGTTGGGTGTATCTCTCATAGTGAGAATTGCAGTACCAAAAATTGACAGCTGGTGCCAGAATTTAACCAACAATGTTGCATTTAATCATAATAAAATGACAAAGTAATATGGCTCAATTATTTTAAAAAACAAAAACAGAGAAACAAGACAGCAGACACCAAATATAGTCTTATTTGTGGCACAAATTTTACTTGTTTCATTACAGTAAAAGTCTTGTTTTCAAAAGTTCATTATTGTATTTTCTCTTTTGTATGTTCATTGGTAGACAAACCAGTAATAGTCAAGAAATAAATTATAACAAATCCTTTAAAAATAAAAACATCAGTTCAACTTTCATACACAGAGTAGAGCATTATGTTTGTTCTGTGGTGATGTATTCAGGTCTTCAATATGCTGTTCTTTGGCAATTATGTGAAATAAGCACACAATGTTCAATACTTTCCAAACTTAAATTAGAAGAAGAAATACATGAAGTTGAGGCAGCAAGATTCAACCAGCTGTCAAAGTGCTGAGAGTCTGTGTCAAGTGGCCTGCCACAAAGGTCAAAAGATGAGAAATGTTGATCTTAAGAAAGGCACGAGGCAGTTTTGTTTTTAGCTTCATGAATGTAGTTTGAACTGGAAAGAATTAGTGCTCCATTTTGTTGTATCACAGTTGAGCATGGTGCGTTCAGTGAAGTTGACGTTCCCCTCAGCATCAATCAAGACTATTGTGTTGGTCCTGGATAAAGATAAATAAAAGTTTGGTATTAGAAGCTGATTTCCCGAGCCTTTCGCTACAGGACAGATCCACACATTTCCAGTTTCTATGCGTGGAGGATGAGTTGTACTAAGGATTCAATCTGGATGTCCTCACACACACTCACAGGCTCAAGTAGCAGGCAAAGTTTTGAGAGGTCAAAGCCACTGACCTTGTGCCATAATGAGGGGAGCGGACGCACACAGCAGACAGGGCCTTGATCATAGCCTTACTGTAGCCATCACCCTGAAGCTCCTGGACCGGGTCAGGTGCATTTCTGATTAAATGACAAAACATCATCAGCATGGGGTCAGGTTCAAACGATTACAGCCCTAATAGAAAATATTCTATATTCATACGAGGTATAAATCACAACTATTGGTTGATTATTCAAATGTATTCAAAGATTAATCAACCAACTTTGTTTAGATCCCAAAAGGGTTCTTATCTTTCTTCTGAGGGTATCAAACTCATTTTTGTCAGGAGCCAAAAAAAAAAAAAAAAAAAAAAAAAGCTGGTCAGGGGCAAAAAGAACTAAATATTATTATGTTTTTTATTATTATTTTGACAAATTGGGTATTTTCTAGTACATTTGTCTGAAGAAAACACATAGTTTAATATAAAATTAATATCTGCCCTATTTAAATTCTAAATACAAGTTGGGTAAACATTTTAGAATCAAATAAATTGTGGTTCAAATTATAATGTCCATTACCATCAATGCTGCAATGCTGAAACTATTATGAATAATAATGCTTTACACTGTTACGTCTACACTGTTTGAATGCATTTAAATTGAACGAAATGTTTCTAGACAACATGCTTGTCTTACAGTTCTTCATTGTTGAGGACGTTGAGAAGCTCTTGCACCAGGCCGTCACTGGACAAGGAGTGGTCACTGACAACATTGGTGAAATGGCGCTTTCCCTGAAGGAGCTTCTTCCATGGCGTGTCCAACAGTGAGTTACTTAAGCTATAGATTCCTGCTACATAAAACAACAGCACAGAAAAAAACAAGCATATCTACAATATAATAATTTCTATCTGTGATTATTTGTAATGCCGCAGAGTTTCAAATTGACTATAAAAAACATGTGCATATCTTCAATGTTACATGAGTAAAAAAAAATGTCGCTGTTATTTTTAAGCTGTAAAACTACCCTTTAAACATGCTGCATGCTAAACATCTGGTAAATATTAAATACATATCACTACCATCAAACTTCACAATGAAAGTACAGCCATCTTCATCTGAAAATATCAATTGGATTTTGGAGAGCTGGTAATCCTCAAGTGGCAACAACAAGCAGAGCACCATGTAAAAGTGATGCAAGATAATATTGAAAGTATGGTTCAATATCAAAATAAACTGTAGCCAGGTCATAACAGAGAAATACAGAATAGTTACAACATAAACCATAATAAATATTGACCTGGTTTTAGATGGACTGGTTCAGCGCTGGCTCTGTTTCCATAGTAACACACTGTGTCCTGTTTGGCTCTGCATGGGGAAAAAAAGAAGATAAATTATATATCCAATTTACTGTCCATTGTCAACATGAATGCACTATAAGTGTAATGGGTGAGAGAAAAAACACACACACATTTAGAACACAATCTATTTCTATTTCTATCTAATCGCCTTTTGTGTAAGCTATCGCTCACAGTGGATGACCATTGCTCTGAATATATGTTATGACGCATTTGCCTGAATCTTTTTTTCTTTCTTCATATCAACAGTAAAAAGTCATAATACAGATACTGAAGGTAAAATGTTATTAGACATAACCAATTAATAACCAGTGTAGGTAAATTACACTGAAAACCATCTTAAAATCAATGATGGGCTGTTAAATGAGAGTCAATATGGATTCAGAGCGAAAAGAACCACCAGCATGGCCTTAACTGAGGCAGTTGAAGAGATAACAAATGCAATAGAACACAAATTACATGCAATTGGAATTTTTATAGACCTGAGAAAAGCTTTTGATACCATTAACCACTCAATATTGTTGGTAAAGCTTCAGAAATATGGTGTCAGGGGTGTAGCGGGGAACTGGCTAAAAGATTATCTCACAGAAAGAGCACAGTTTGTTCAAATGGAAAATTATGTCTCTGAAAGTCTTGGCATTGCGTGTGGTGTCCCCCAGGGGTCAGTGTTGGGACCTATGTTGTTTAACCTGTATATTAATGATATTTTCAATGTGTCAAAGTCTTTAAAACTAATTCTTTTTGCAGATGACACTAACATTTTCTACAGTAGTTCGGACTCATCAGAATTAATCAACACTGTAAATATTGAGCTAAATAAACTTAAAAAATGGATGGACACAAATAAATTGTCATTAAACGTAAATAAAACAAAAGTAATGACATTTGGTTACACGAAAGCATGTCCAAATTTAAAAATTTTCATTGATGGAGCCGAAATTGAAAATGTTACTGAAAACAAATTCCTGGGGGTAGTTATGGACAACAGCTTATCATGGAAAGCTCATATAAGTCATATAAAGACCAAAATAGCAAAAAATCTCTCAATTATAAATAAGGCTAAACACTACCTTGATACTCACACACTACGCTCGTTATATTGTTCATTGGTTCTACCCTATCTGACATACTGTGTCGAAGTGTGGGGGAACAATTACCATTGTACAATAAAACCTTTATTATTATTGCAAAAACGAGCTGTGCGAATCATTCACAAAGCAAGCTACCTACAACACACTCATGAACTTTTTACCCAATCTAAATTATTGAAGTTTCCAGACCTTGTTAAGCTCTACACATCAATTGTGCTATTTAAAGCATTTAACAAATTGCTACCATGTAAAATACAACAATACTTTATTCTTAATGAAAAAACATATAATCTAAGAGGTCTTGGAAACTTCAAACTTCCAAAATTCCGATCGACTCGTAAAAGTTTCTGTGTGACTGTATGTGGCGTGAAATTGTGGAATGTTCTTGATCTCCAACTAAAACAATGCCAAGACATTCATAGATTTAAATCACTGTACAAAAACAATGTTTGGTCTGACTATAGAGGGAATATGCCTTGAATATATCTTCATGTTGCCATGTATGTATGTTTCTTGTATGTTTGTAATTGCCCCTGTTGTTGTTTCTTTATCATTGCTGTATCCTTACCATTGTTGGTATTGTCTGTTCCTTACCATTGTTGGTATTGTCTGTTCCTTACCATTGTTGGTATTTTCTGTTCCTTACCATTGTTGGTATTTTCTGTTCCTTACCATTGTTGGTATTTTCTGTTCCTTACCATTGTTGGTATTTTCTGTTCCTTACCATTGTTGGTATTTTCTGTTCCTTACCATTGTTGGTATTTGCTGTCCCTATGTACCATATTGATATTTACTGTCTTTACCATTGCTGGTATTTTCCTTATGCATTTGTTTTGCATCCTTGTAATACGTATCTTGTGTGTATCTTGTGTTGGCCTAAGCACCTGACACACAGCACCTCTCCGGGCTGTGGCTGTCGCTGTGGGGGAGTGAGCCGAGAGCCAGGCCAGATGCCCTTCATCACACTACTCTACCACTTTTGCTCTTCCCACACAAACTGTCCAATGCTCTCTCATATTCAATATATAGAAAAGTGTTTGGCTAGGCTAGTGGGAGTGAGCACGCGTTTTGACGTCTCTGCTCTGTTTACCCTTTTAAGCCTTTTAAAGCCTTTTAAACACATTTTTACGGTGTATTAGTGTCTTTTGTACACTCTAGTGTTTTATTATCTTAAATGCAATGGTTCCAGAGCATTACGTCTTTTAACACAAAGACCAAATCGAAACGCGCTAGCTCGGAGGCTACCACGAGCGCACCACAGACATCCCGGCACAAGATATTCTAATCATTTAGGTCGATACATGCGTCTTGTTTCCCAGCGTCTGAAACTGCTTCCCATCACTGTTTGAAACATTAGCACAAAGGGCCTCTTGTTCAGCGATAGCCTTGGCCACCACCTGCAGGCGCACTATCTGCGTCCGCTCACGCTATGTCCTTTTATTATCTGTTTCTTCCGCGTCTCCCTGTTGTCAAGGTCTCTTCACAGCGCCTAATGTATCTCTCAGAAAACTTGCCTTTCTCGGCACCTGCGTATGACTCATCTCTTGTGACGAATGTTCATTGTTCTGTCTGACACACCTCCAGTATAAGATCATAGACACGCTTGTTGGGCAGAAAGACAGACACGGCATCGGTCCAGGTCCCGTTTCTGTCTGGCTCCTTTCTGCGCAGAAATGTCATTTTTGTACTCATCACTTCTGTGAATAAACTGCACAAAAGGACAAGTTTGTTTCCTCTCGGAATTATTTCATTTGAAGCATCAGAATTCCCATAACAATTTGGTGTCAGAAGTGGCTCCGGAGGCTGATCGTTGGAACGCACAGGTCCGGGTTGGGGGCTGATCACCCGGGATTCAAAAACCAATCTCGTCGCTTTCCCATATCTCTGGACGGGCGGACTGACCGGACGTGCTGAGTTTCAACCGTCGCCTCTCGGGATTTTCACACGAAAACAAACGGTAACTTGTTTAATATTTGACTTTCTATGCTTCAGTGGTGAATCCGAGAGGCACTTGTGGGTGCAGTGCATGTGGGGGTGCCAGCTGGTGACGGTGCTGATCATTCTAATCCAGGCTGTTGGAAATAAATCCTAAGTTAGAGTCTTAGGCTGAAGTTCGAGTCTTCAGTTGTGACACGGTTAGAGTCCTGTCTAAAAATCTAAGTTCAAGTCTTAGTCGGGGGTTCAAGTCCCTTGTTGTGACACGGTTAGAGTCCTGTCAAAAAATCTAAGTTTAGTCTTAGTCGGGGGGTTCAAGTCCCTTTCGTTGTAGTACAGGTTCGAGTCCTGTTTTGTGCAAAGGTTCAAGTCCTGATTGCTGATAAGGGCAGAGTTCGAGTCTCTGTTTTTATATCTGAGTTCAAATCTCAGATTCCAGCCATGTGGCTTAGAAGAAAAGGCACAGAGTCACCAGTTTGGAGCTCTCCATGCATGACTTTTATGAGTAAGAAACATGGTGATGATTTTAGGACATGCGTTGAAATGTGGGTGGCTGAATTAGGTTTTCCCAAAAATGGGTCCTTCAGCTTGAACCAATTGAACAAGATTAAATCGCAATTGGATGCTAGAGAGACTGTGTTGAAAAAAGGGAGAACTGTACGTGTGAAAGATTTGAATTGTCTGGATGAGAACAGACGGTGGTTGAATGTGTGGATGGCAGAGGCAAAGCTTAGGGACAGCAAACAGAAAAAGTCTGACTCTATAGAATGTGTAGGATCTGCGACTGACTCTTCTCCATCTGCTTTTTTTTCGAGAATACCACCGATCCCACGTCAATACGACCGTAGGAACTCCAGAGATGATTGGAACCCGCTGTACCCCGCTCTCTCACCCCCCCGGTATCAAGCAGCAGCAGCGGCACCTGCAGCACCAGCAGCAGCAGCAGCAGCAGCAGCAGCGTCAGCTGCCCTCCCACCGCTGCTCCTCTTGCCTTCCCCAGAGGCATCTGCATCAGCCCCTCCCCTCCTGTCTGGAGCAGCACACAGACACACTGCTCCTGCTGAAATTCAAAGTTTGACTCAAGATATGGACAAAATCACTTTAAATGACAATGGCATGACGCTGAGAGATGGAAAGACTTTACAAGCACCTATGATCGAATATCCTGGCCCAGAGGGAACCCCCGTTCTTGTTCTGCGTCAAATGGATCAGGAGATGAAAGAATCTGTCAAAGACTGGCCTTCTCCTCACCGCGGAGGTGATTCAATGGCAGACGCATTTCTGGCCTTCTGCAAAGCATGGCGTCCTACGGGCGCTGAAGTTAAAAAGCTTCTCCTCCTGTATTTAAAACCGGAGGGCTTCGCCAAGATAGAGCCGGCGGTCCATCGACAGAATTATGAGACTTTGCGAGCCCTGCAGGCGGAATGGACAGACGCGAATGCATGGGAGACATATATTGCCAACATAGTGACAGCTCTCAAGCGTGCGTTCCCAGTGAAATTTGATATGGGAAAGATTAAAGACTGCTCTCAAAAGACAAGTGAGTCAGTTGTGGACTTTTATCATCGTCTTGAGGATGTGTGCGTGGCCCACTCTGGTAGTCAAAAGCCAGAGAATTACACTGCCGCAGCTGAGACCACATTCGAGGTGATCTTTAAGATGGCGTTCTGCGAGGGCCTTCCCCAACCGATCCAAGCCGCACTAAAACAGACTTTGGTGGGAGGTTGGCAAGATAATCGCATCTCAGAAATCCTCAGACACGCAAAGCATGCTGAAATAAAGAACACTGAGGAGAACGCTGTGAAAGCTGGCGCGCAGGAGACGGCCCAGCATCAGGCCAACCTCACGTTGATCAAAATGACGGGCAGACAATTCCGTCGTGGAGGTCGTGGAGGTAGAGGACGGAGAAGAGGTGGCAACGGACATTTCGAGAACGATCGTGACCATGACGACCAGGACAAATGTTTCAACTGTGGTGAAATTGGACATTGGAATCGTGACTGTCCCCAGCCACGCCGAGATGCGAGACGCTGGAGTGGACGTGGACGGGGTGCGAGACCGGAGGACCAGCAGAGATTTTCTTCAGATTGATGTCTGGTTGACGTGGGATCTGACACAGCAACTGTACAGATGAGTAATGCACACACTCTTACACACAACACACTAACTGCTAACTGCAATGAAGACGCGCTTGCTACTGATTCACTGCTTGGCTTAATTGAGGATAGAATTAGGGAGTTAGAGAGCGGTGACAGGCCCAACACAGGGACCTACTTGGCTTATGAAAATGAAGCTTACAGGAAAATGCCAACTATTGTTTGTGAAATTGAGGGTAAACCGATCACTTTTTTAGTAGACTCTGGTGCAACCCACAGTGTGATTCAGACAAAGGAGCTCTCAATCAAATTAAGTGGCAGAAGTGTTTTTTCCACAAGTGCGAGTGGACAAACGGTACCGGAATCTTTCTCTGTTCCGATCAAATGCACTTGGGCAAACGAGCGTAACCCAGCAACAGCAAAACATTCATTTTTGATGTCTGACCTTTGTCCTGTAAACTTGTTAGGCCGTGATTTAATGATAAAATGGGAAGTTGTGATCACATCGACAGCAGAAGGCCTTAAAATAGACAGAGGTGCGTGCGCGACTAATTTTGTCAAAGTAAACACAAACTGTCCTATGTCTGTATATCAGTGATGGTTTCATACTGCCAGCGCGAGTCATTTAATGGGGGTGGTTTCTCCATTTCTTAATCCAAAATCTGATATATTGAAAGCTGAGGACCTGCATTGTGTGTGTCATTTACACCATAGCCCTGATTGTGAATTTGAAGAAACGTTTAAACTGGGCTCAAATGACTGCTTGATTATTGCTGACGTGTACTTTGATGATTCCAAGTGTGCTGTTTCAGTAGAGTTAAGCCAGTCACAAAAACAATGCTATCGTCTTGAAAATTCAAGTCCTCATATTTCAATAGCGAAAGCAAAGACTGACACATGGCAAACCCTAGGCCTTTTTGTGCGCAGATGCACTTTGGCAGAGGACTGGGAGGCGTGTGACCGTGGAGAAAATGTGTTTTATTCACAATCCGTTTGCGCGTATAAAATGTCTCATACGAAGACAGTTGATGTGCTAAATTTAGTGCTTTTGACGTCTTCATATGATAACAATGACGGACCAAATTTGACTCTGACTTCTTTGACTTCTCCGCTTGAGATTTCATCTTTGTTATCACAAGTACCGGACAGTCTGTGGGCAAAAAGTAAACATGATGTTGGTTTGATCAAAAACTGTCCACCTGTTCGCATTGAAGCTAAATCTGATTATCAATCAATCAATCAAATTTTATTTATAAAGCGCTTTTCATACATAAGATGCAACACAAAGTGCTTTACAGATTGGTTAAAAACAATCCCGCCGGCCCAAGACCCCTCCCCCAGACCACCCAACAGACCCCCCCCAAACCACAGACAAACACACACACACGCGCTCATGAACACTCATACACACACACACACACACACACACACACACACACACACACCAGTAAAACAATAAAAACATGATGAGAGACTTGGCAGGGTTCAGATGCAACCAGCTGAAAAAGCGTCATCCAAGGAGCCGTCTGCACCAGGAGCAGAGAGCCGCCCGTAGCCACAGGGGACGACACAGGATCTAGAGGAGACCCGAAACCGAGGCCCCAGGCCCCCACCAGGCCCAAGAGTCCGACCCCCGCAGCCACACCGACCACTGCTCCCGGTGCAGAGGGCTCCTCCAGAGGAAACACTGGGTACACTAAAAACAATACAATAAGTAAAACACTAAAATGTGAGACTAAAAGGAACACACAATACATGAATAATAGCAATAGCAATATAATAAATAATAAATAATAAAAGATAAATAGAATGGAATAATAAAAACTAATCAAAAGCTACTCTAAAAAGGTGCGTCTTGAGCCTACTTTTAAAAATATGAACGTTCTCTGCGGCCCTGAGCTCCTCCGGCAGACTGTTCCAGAGACGGGGG